TGAAAGAAAAAAACCCATAGGAAAATGTTTTTTACGAAGTAACCACTCATTTGATTCTGTTTTTCGAACAAACGTTTTCACTTAAAAGTCTACTTTTACCGCTAATTACTCCCTGTTATTTATTAGACGCGTGCATATTAACATATTCGCCAACGCATGATGTCATCGTTTGCTAAAGTGCGGTTGTTATTCTGACTAATTTTATACTATGTGACTGAATTTATAGATCTAAATAACTCGTAATATCTTAGAAATTCTTATCTCTAAAATCGTTTTGTGTTCTTAGTTATAGTTAAGCCATCGTGCATTAACGTTGTCCTCTACAGATACCCATGTGTGATGCGTCTGGCATGACTGCACTAACACATATTATGCTTTCCTTCAAACTTTTAGCTCTTGGCCGCAATGAAGAATTTCGACACAAGTAAATTATGCAAACTAACTATAAATACTGACAAACATTTTTAGGATCTTTGTTTAAGAAGAAACTTCACGATTTCCGAGCTTATAGCGACAAAGTAAACTATGTTTTCGAGGGGGCCAAATTTCCGAAGGGGAGGTTTTCCTAGGAAATTTGGCCCGGGGGGGCAAATTTTGGGGGGGCCAAATTTCCTGGGACACCGGGACAGGGGGGGGCTGGGGGCCGAAAAATTCGTTGGCTCGAGCGGGATTTGAACTCGCATCTTCGGGTATCTAGATCGCCGCTCTACCTATTGAGCTATCGAGTCAGCAGGGATTGGTAGCGAGTCTTATCCAATTTAAGTGCACGAAATATTTTCGTGACGACTTAACGCTTGTCTTAGAGGACGCGCAGTGTTTCAATTCTATTTCAGAACCATCCTCAGAGATACGAAAAACTAGTTTCATATTAATCTGACACTGCAATCGAGCAACGAAAAATTCGTTGGCTCGAGCGGGATTTGACTAACTCGCATGTTCGGGTATCCAGAACTCGCATCTTCGGGTATCTTAACAATATATTTATAACTTCTGTAGCCAAGTATTCAATCTATTTAATTTCTGGTTGCCGGAAACAAATGACGTGTAATATTAGATTAAGAGTCGTCGAAAAGTCGTCGTAAGAAACTTTTTAACAGCAACTAGTGAATTTGGTTGCATTTCCAGGGCTCTGGGAGATCTCAGATTTCAAAATTTCCCGGAGGAGCATGCCCCAGGACCCCTCTAACAAACTCACGCCTTCGGCGTTCGCTATAAGCCCCCCCGATCCAATAATGGCTCCGCGGTCCCTGAGCATGCCGTCAGATCCCCCACGTTGCGAAGTTCGGCCTTCTCTTGCAACTCCTACTCTTCCCAACGCAACGTCTACTATGAAATATTTTGAAACCACTGGTACACTAACCGTTGTGTCACGAACAATTATTAAACCAAGTATTGTATCATTGCAGGAAAGATTGGGCTGCACAGTTTGAAGTGAGAAATCTCAAGGCTCTCTCAGCTTCACCTTACGTACTCTACCCAACACACTATATCGGGGACGAAGGATATTTCAGTGATACAGAAACATCGGTATTCGCACCACGAACGAATAAGAGTGAAGCTGGAGACGATGGTAAAGCGCCTGCAACTAAAGTTGAATTGTAACAGTAGGTAATGGGGGTGGAATGTTTAGCTTGTCCTGGGCCGGGGAGGGGCCAATAACACTTTCCTGAAACTGGTCAAATTAAGAAATATTGTTTCCTAGTCATGTTACCTAAAGGTGGGCAAACGAAGAAATACAGTATTGTTTGCTTGTCACGTTTCCCGAAACTGGGCAAACCAAGTTACCAAGAAACATTGTTTCCTAGCCATGTTTCCCGAAGGTTGGCAAACCAAGAAACATTGTTTCCTATATAGCCATGTTTCCTGAAGGTGGGCTAACCAGGAAACATTGCTTCCTAGCCATGTTTCCTGAAACTGGTCAAATCAAGGAGTATTGTTTCCTGGCCATGTTTCCTGAAGGTAAACAAACCAGGAAACATTGTTTCCTAGCCATGTTTCCCGAAGGTGGGAAAACCAAGAAACATTGTTTCCTAGCCATGTTTCCTGAAGGTGGGAAAACCAGGAAACATTGTTTCCTTGTCATGATTCCCGAAAGTGGATAAACCATGCAGGAGACACTGACGTTTCCGAAAGGAAATTCACATTTTTGCCCAGTAAATACCAATCTAAAATGCATCCAAATTTTTATAAGTGAAAGAGATAAGAAAATTTAATTTTTAAATATATTTTTGTATTATTCGCAGATTAAGATTGAGCTTTGCCACAGAAAGATATTAGGATTTATGAAATTTATAGCTTCGCCAGTATTTAAAAATAAAGTTTATAGATAGAGTTATTTTCAAAAGCATTTTTATTAAATATAAGATTACATTCGTATGTACCTGTATATTGTATTTTATGATCTGACACCCTCTATAAGCTATACTTTCAAGGCTAGCATTGCTAACTAATTCTGAGAACTCGTCACGTCCTGAGAAAATCCTGTTTGAAAGTTTCGTACGTATCGTTATTTAAAGCTTCACGGAGTTTCTTGAAAAAACTGAAGTACTGATGAAAATTGTGTCTGCAAGAAAATTAATGCATCATTTTATTTTACAAGTGAACGTATGTATATAGTCTAAATGGAGCGAGATAGAAATAGAACGCTTGCTGGCTTCGTGTCGACATCGGCGCCATCTTTATATTGCTCCACGTTAGCATTTCTGAACCATCCTCAGAGATATACGAAAAACCAGTTTCATACTATTCTGACACTGCAATGGATCGTTGGCTCGAGCAGGATTTGAACTCGCATCTTCGGGTATTTATTTCGGGATTTGTATACGCGCATTTTTGTGCACTTAAATTGGATAAGACTCACTACCAATCCCCGTTGACTCGATAGCTCAATGGGTAGAGCGGCGGTCTAGATACTGCGAGTTCAAATCCCGCTCGAGCCAACGAATTTTTCGTTGGTGTATTGCAGTGTCAGAATAATACGAAACTGGTTACACGTTTGCATTTTCTATGATTTTTTACTATTACTATTTTTTATTTTTTTGAGCTCGTTTTGCGAATCCGTACTGAAACTCTATCGAGTATGATAAATAATGAAAAGACAATGGAACCTTCCAATCACAGGATCATGACTGGATGGCACCGTTGCAGTGCTATAGGTGCCATCCTCGAAAACAAACCCTCAGTTACTATACTTACATCATCAGCAATACTTCAGCCAGCATTTCTTTCGTTTCTAACAAGTGATATATGTAAGCTCGAGTGTGATTGGTACAGGAATAGCACGAACAGCCAATCACGAGCGAGGAGAAGTCTTCTTTATACCTATACATGTAGCCAACATAAACACAAACTTACAGATATATCGTCGAGGAACGTTGAAATTATCTTTTGTCGTACAGTGATCTTTCGATATTACTTTATACGAAGTCATTTGCATTTAAAGCTCGGTATACAGACGAGCTAGTTTTCCTTGACAAGTTTACTTTCTCGTGTGTACGGTCAACAAGTTTTGGGCGCGAAATAACGGCCGGTCAACGGACAATGTCCGGCCAGAATGCGGAGTTGTCCAGTCAAATTAGAAGAACAAACTAATATTATAAAAGAACAAACTAATCTCAGCCTGTGTACAGCCGTTATTCTCGACGAACTGTACAGGCTAACTAATCTTCATTTGAATTAATAATCAAAATAAAGTTGTCAAGTATTATAATTAAGAACCATAACATGTTGTCGAATATTTTTCAGGAAAAGAACTTCAATGTGCGCCAGCTTTCCCACGCAGTACGTCACAAAGCCCATGGCCATGCTTTTGGGTTATTAAAGAGTTAAGGCCATGCCATGGTTTTGGCGCAGTGGAAGCTGTTTTATGTGAAGGAGTTTTTAATTACTGATTACAGTAAGGCTTTTTGTAATTCTATACTGGGAAAATAGTCACATTTTTAGGGGTATATACTTTACTGGGCTTTGCGTTAAGCTGAATAATTGGACTGGCCAGAAATTCGGTATGTCCGAGCTAAATTGAATTGGCCGGTCAAGGTTGGACCGGCGACCCTCCAGCGCCCTGGTCGTGTGCACGGAATGTTGTTAAACATTATCTCACGTCAAGGCCGCCTTTTGTTTGCCAAAACCATAGAAGCATTTCTTGTTCACTTGTCAAGTTTTCCTTGACTTGGCGGACGTACACACGAACAAATTTTCCTTGTCCAAAACCTGGCATGACTAGCTTTTGAACAAGGCCCAGCTTGGCAACGAAAAATTGTCAATTTGTGGCCATACACGCGAGCATACAAATATAACTTGTCAAGGAAAACTTGTCACGGTCTATATGTACCTAATATTGGCGATATTCATTTCAAAACGAGTCTTCTTGATATTTTCACTAATATTTTCCTCTAGTTCTTTACTCTGAGTAGCTTTGCATTTTTCTGTGACATCATTTGTGTGGTTCAACTCGGGTTTACAGCGTTTACTGCTGCATTGGAGATTCAATGAACAGCCACGTCGCGTTGCTTCGTATGCGAAGCTAGAGAAGAATGTAATAGCTGTCTTGATAAGAAATACAGAGATTGTAAAGAATACCGAAACTGTGATTTAATAGGCGATGCAGTGAAGCTGTATAAACTTTAAGCTTGTTTTATTATACGTCGAATTTTGGCTGCGTCGAATGCAATAAGACAATAGATGAGATGATAAACCTCATTAAGTTTTATTATCTATTGTTTGAATTACATTCGACGCGACCGAAATTCGACGCATAAAACACGGCTAAGATTGGTTGGGCTTAACTGAGGTTCAAAACTTCAAAACAAAATTTTCAGGGGGACCACGCCCCAGACGGCCAAACAATTAGAACCCCTCTCCCACACTCGAGTGGGGCTGGCTACGTCCCTGAAGAACACACCTGCTATCAAAGACATCAATTCCACATTCCAAAGCAGAAAAGATGTGATCTAAAAGAGTAAAACAAATGTCAACAAGATCTGTTTAGATTATAACACCTCGTCAGTATTTCGTGAACCATACATACCTGGTGTCATTGGTCCAGGGAAAAAACGTGGTCTGTCACTTGGTAGATTCTTCTAGAAAAAGGAATTTTATTCAATACGCCAACTCAGAGCCCACCGCATGAATTGTAACAAACCTGCAGCAGACTTGTAGCGCTAGCAATGCTGTTCCAACAACTTGCCAACAGGATGTGTTCGCACTGCTTGTTATCAGCTTGTCGACAAGTTGTCAACAGCTCGTTGATAACTTGCTACAAGGTTGTCGAGTTAAACAGACTTGTTACAAGTTGTTCCGACAGCTTGTTATCGTCCTGCAATTCAACAATTTGTCAACAAGTTGTGACTTATGTGAGTGACAACCTTGTAGCAACTTGATAACAGCATTGTTACAACTTGTTGACAAGCTTGCTACAAGCCTGTTGCGAACATATCTTGTTGACAAGTTGTGAGATTTTTACGTGTTTGCAATTGCGCGGAGATGACTAAATGCTTGTTTGACTTGTTGTATCATACACTTACAATACACGTCTTTAATAGTTCCTCCCAGTTCTGTGACGATGGCTCAATTCCTTCCACAACGAAACCTTAATATCAAAAACGCGTTTAGAACTATATTTACTTCAAGTGATGTCTGATGATTGTATTTCTCACTTAAATTTTCATCTTATTTTTTGTCTTTAATATGGCTTTGCTTTTGAATAATTTCCTGATCGTTTTACCTGCCACTTCTCTTTTAGAAGTTTCAACAGCACAACGTACTCTTTCCGTTTCGCTGTCACCTCCTTCGACAGAGCCGAGAATTTCTATCGATTTTAACATGTCGCTATTTTTTCTGCATTCCAGTAGTTCGTCTAAGAATTTCAATGTCCTATCAACAGATTTTCTGTTTCGCTTACAGCTCTCGCCACTCGGAACTGTGTCGCATAAACATTGCGCGATGTTTGGTTTAAACGATTTTAGAATTTCTATAAATTGATCTACATTTATCTGAAAGAAAGAAACAAGGCAGTGAAAAAAAAAGGCACTGGAAAAAATCATTCCAGTCAGTTACAAAAAACAGTATGGCACTATAGGCTATAGCGGGAAAATGAAAGTTTATGGTGCAACTTTTAACTTTTTTTTCTGAAATGACATAGTTTTATTAGTTTAATTTTCAGCTTTTTGCTCGTCTCACTAACTTTCCTAAACTTGATTTTGAATTGTTATTGTTCCAAGTTTCGTTCCTACAATCCAACTTGTTAATTGCTCTTAAAGAATAAAGGTTATTCAATGTCATGCAGTGTGTAAATGTGTGTTTTGTGTCTTTAAATTTTAATAAACTATTGTTGTCTTTCTTGGGTTGGTCTTCGTATGAGAGTCTTGTAAAAAAAACTAAAATTGTTAATGTTTTTCGGCAGGAAGGTCAAAAATAAAAGTTTCATGTCAAATTTGTAACCTTTTCTTCCCACCCAAAAGTACCATTTTGCAACAACAAATTGACCAGATTTGTGGCAAACTTTCGTGTTAATTGCTATATAAAAAAAACGTTTCAATAATTCAACATGCTATGTGTAAATAAATATTAGGACTTTTCTCTAAGTTCTGTCTTCCAACCTTTTTCCTACCACCACTATTCCATACTGAAACATTTTTGTCTTCATTGTAGGAACATTGTATTTCTTGTGTTGGATCATATACTGACATAAACACAAAATTCTTTTTCTACCAAAAAAAAGAAGATTTCATGATAAAAGATTTTATGCCACCATGAGAAAACTGCATATTATGTTTATGTAACTGCATGTAACCTGTATGCCAAGAAATTCCGAAATCCCTTTTCCATAAGTCTGTAAAACATCTGGTCCAGGATATTGAAATCTGTCACAAAAACCAGTCACAATGATTCAATGTCAGTTGTCACAATATGAACTAATGTGGCTGGAACGGCACAAACTATAATACGGAATCTGAATGGCAGTAATAACACAGACAGTCGATCATCATGCACGTTCTGAATTCTGAAAATTAGACCAGCTGATTAAAAATATCACAACCATTAGGGAGCATTCATTTTTTAGCTGGGGGCGTGGGCCGGAGGAATTTGGGGGTGGGTCAGCCAATTTTGACATGCTTCAAAGGGGTGGGTCTTTTTATAGTTTTGGTATAAATGGAGGGGGTCATAAAATATAATTTTATAGAATTTGGAAATATTTGGATCAAGAATGGTAAAAAGGTCCAGAATCTATCAACTATCTCGTCATCTATAACAATAAAGCAAAATTCATTTGACACTCTGTTCACACAGTCCATAGGAAAACATTTCCATGACGTTCGTCAATTGACCTCGTTTTTATCCGTTTTTGTGTGAAAACATGAATGAAAGAAAACGCAGGACCGTAGCATGATTTCAAAATAATGCATGATTTCAAGGAGTGCATGACTTCAAAATCATGCAGCCTTTATCAATTTTAAGCTTTATTAATTTTAAGCGGCTACATTATCCATGACAAACTGCAAAGAATGAAGATAGTACCCACAGTTTCCTGCAACTTATCCTAGTTATCCAATATATTGTTAATTAAATATGCCTTCACCCATTTAGTACTACCAAATTGTCAATTTTGACATACTAAAACATCAGAATTCTGTCAAATCCTCCCCCAAAGGCCAAGAAATGGCATTTCAGAGACTCTAGATTTAAAAATTTCCTCGGGCCTAATTCGGCCCTCGCTTTCAGCCCCCCCCCCATCAAAAAGAGTTTCCTATGGCCCAGAAACGCTATGGAAACGACACCATGTGGATTAATAGTTAGGATGAGGGGTCAAAAAATTTTCAGTAAAAAAAATAGGGGGTCATAATTTTTTATCAACTTTTGTCTTGGGGGTTCCAAGTTTTCGCATGGAATTAGACATCAGTTCCTCCGGCCCCCCCCCCCAGCTAAAAAATTAATGCTCCCTTAGGTTGTGGTATTGTACTGAATATAATTAATAACCATTAAGCACCGGCGCTCTCCCCTTGACAAGTAAAATCATCTGGTGTTAGCCAGAGTAAAATAATAAAGTAAGGTGCATCAGGGCACAATGCGACTCAATGGGTTAAGATACACCATCTTGGCATATCCTGAGTATAACGATATTGCTGTAGGCATGTATAGACATTATTGTGCATAATTTGCCCTGGTTGATAATTAATCCATCTCTAATTTAACGAACACAAATTTATCTGATGAAGTCGATGAACTATCTTTTGTTCGACCATCACTGCTATATATACCAAACAATTTGTCTGGACTACCATTAGTTGAACCTAAACGGTAAACCTTAGTTGTTCTGCATACCCCTCTTCTCTTGTTGTCCTACTTACAATGTCGGCAAGGTTACATGTACCCCTGCATAATCATCAAAAAAATCCTCTGTCAATTCATTGGTTAAGTAAGGTGCTGCCCCACCACGCGTGTATAGCATGCAAGCAGGGGTGTTGATCTTTTGTCTTTCGCTGTTATTGAATCTAATTTCTCCACAACGGCAACCAGCAACCGATTTGATTTCATGAAATTCCATTTTCACAATTTCACCTTTGTTTGGCTATAATGTTAAGGTGACACAATTCAGTCACATAATACTACTCACTGCATGTACTATTGGGGAATGAATACCGCTGATATATTTCATTCCAGACTCAGTCTTTGGTATGGATAACTTTGTGTAAATTATATAAAGTAATTAGGAAATGAATACCGCAAAATTTAAGTACCGTGGACGCAGAGAAACACGCATGCTGTTTCAAATCTCGCGTGCTGGTGCAAAACCGCGCGTGCTATTTTGAAAAATCCCGTGTGAAACGTTCGTTGCGTCATCGCTCATAAAAATTTTCCCAACGCTGCTTGCCGCTTCAAAACGTTGCTGTTTTCAACAAATTTTATAACCGATTTCATCCTAAAACATCTCTGCCATCCTAGACCTCTAAGGGAATATTCTGGACCAAAAAGAAACTATAGATACCAAATAATCAAGAAACGGTTGAAAACATTTTGTATATATTATTTTTGACATCGAAATTTAGAAAAGTTTCGGGGTCATCTGTCGAGTACAACGTTAATTGTCGAAAGCGTCCCTGTCATAGTCGGCGTTTGCGTTTGACAGTTCAACTATTTTGGCGTCTTGAAAGCACTGGTTAGGACGCTCAATTTTCCTTCATGACTACCTCTTCAGAATGTCGGATCGTGTTGGACTAAAAACGAAGGATAATGCTGCGAAAAAGTTCTCGTCTCTTAACTTGAACCAAACGTACAAAGGAACAAAGGTTGAATCTAAAGCAACTACAGGTGAATACATACTTTATTCTTGTTTCTTGCTAAAACCTTAACTTCTATTTGAGCTTTTACGTACTAAAACAACTCTGGAATACTTCTTGTGTAAATTTGAAGACTTGTAAGGCTTTCTGTGCGCGTAAACTGTTCAATTTCAAAGTCTTTGCCAGTGCTTGAGACTGCTTGTCATGTTGTCAACTGGTGTCGTGCAAATTTATATTGAATGCGTCTCTTTGTTTGTCAGGAGCCCCAAGACATGGCCTTCAAAGTTTGGGAAAAGTCGCTACGAGTCGGCGAATGCCGCCGCCAGCAAATCTACCTTCTTTGAAAAGCGAAAATCTAGGAAACGACCCGACTGTTGCGCTAGTTCCTAGCGGTGGCGGAGGATGGGGAAGCGGGAAGGACAAGGAAGCGAGTACAACAACAACGACAACAAACAAAAATGCGAGTCAAGGACAGGCTACTCCTGCTCAGCCGCAAGCACAGCAGCCATCGAAGGCTACAGACACATCACAAAAAGCAACGACAGGACAGCAGACAAATACAGGGCAGACAACTTCGACAAACCAAACTTCGGCTGCAACAAAGACCTGGGCAAGCAGCTCGTCAAGCGTGGCTGGTGGTCAAGGTAATGGCTTTGTTTTATACAACTGCATGCTAGCTTACATATTTGATTCAAACTTTTCCTGTATAATTTGCAAAATCACGTTGCCCCAGGTTTATAATTGCCATAGGTCTTTTAAACCTACACATATAAAATAAAGTTGCAGATCTGCCAACAAGTTGTAACAAGGTTGCTGGCAAGGTGATATCAGGATGCATGTGCACTGCTTGTTCCCAGTTGTTGTGGCAAGTCTTTAACAAGTTGTTATCACCTTGTTGCAAGGTTGATGGCAGTAATAGACTTGCTACAAGTTGTTCTAACGAGACAAACACAGGCTGTTTGTAACAAGTTGCCACTCATCAACTTGTTTGCAACTTGCAGATGATATCAGACTTGTTGGAACAACTTGTTGCGAGTGAGTTGGCCTCGTCAACTTACGCTATGTATTTTCACATGAAGCCTCAGTGTTTGTCTGACTGGGATATTTGGAAATTCTGTGCCTAAGGTTTTGAAAATTTACAGTCAAACTGGATGTTCTCTTGCGAGCAATATTGTCTCACAATATTGCAATTTTGATAGGCAGATTGCTCTGAGCAATTTGCAACCGACACAAACAAATTCCAAGTTGAAATTCACAAACGATTTGTATAAGAAAGAGGGAAGCGCCAATCCAGTTGCTCAGACTATTTGATTGACTTCATTCTTTCTTGTAATCCGATCAGCTTTGTTTACAAATCTTTTGTGGATTTCAACTTGCAATTTGTTTGCTTCTGTTGCAAATTGCTCAGGGCAATCTGTCTATCAAAATTGCAATATTGCAATAAACGAAAGTGAGACAATATTGCAATGTTGCCTGTAAGAGAACATCCAGTTTGACTGTAATAGTAAATATATAAAATATATCAACACTACCCATGTTCTTGGTTGTGTGTTTGTATTAAATGTGGATTTGAAGCTTTTGATTAGTTCTGCTAGTTAAGCATGGTTGCCTAATCAAATTGCATCATTCCAGAACATTGCACACCAAATGGGCAAAAGGTCTGCCCTGGTGAAAAGCTGAAATCCAGGCAGAATTTTTTTGGGGGGGGTACGATGTGTGTTTCCACTCTAGGGGGAGTCTGGATCTTTTCTGGAATGACCCATTAACTCAAGTTGGGTGCATATTTGCAGCTTAATGGGTTAACAAAGATGCATTGGCAGATTGCTGAACTCAATAGTGTGTGTGACACTCTCCCTTGACAAGTAAAATCATCTGGTGTTGGACCAAGTAAAATAATAAATGTGGTGCATGGGTTAAAACTTATCAAATGTTTGTGACAAACATTGAGGTTTCATGTGAGGAAATACAATTGCGAGCTTAAGCAAGCAACGTTTTTGACAATGTTCACGAATGTCAGATTGCCTGGTAGGGACTGGATTTTAAAATCTGTGTTTGAATCTCTTTGTGGTAGTATTCAACACATATGGCAAGACATAACATTTTTAAAGCTTTTTTCTTCCTTACACGAGTATTGCTGCCAAAATTAGCCATACCAATTTTCGGGTGACGTTCCATGTTCACAAAAACGTCACTTGCTTAAGCTTGTTAATGTTTTTATCTGCAACTGCTCATCTGTGGAGCTCTTTTATGGAAGTAGAGCTGGCCCAGTTAGTGAGCAAGACCTTCCTGTGTAATTAGGTTGCATATCTACAGACTACCACCGATAGATGGATTTTCAGCATTTGTGCTGGTGGAGTGTTGAAAATTTAGGGGGAGTTGAGTGACGTGGCACATTGCAACGGTTTGGGCACACCGTCGCCAATGGAGGGGGGGGGAGGGGTAAGCCATGAAATTTTGAGTTTTTGGTCTTATTTAGTTCGAAATCCTTATTTTTAATGTGAGTTGAGAGACTTGGGATTGTGTGCTGAAGATTGAAAATTTAGTGAACAGGATATTTCTGCCAGGATAATAAGCACCAGTAAAATTGTTTTGCGTTAGAGTAAAATGATAAAGTAGAACGTGTTAAGGTATGTTTCCACCTTGCAATTTGTCGGGCCGATTCAGCTTTAATTAAATGATATTTGAAAACGATGCTGTCAACGTCATCTGGCAACATTGTTGACTGACAACATTCATCATTACATTAACATTCGGCAAAACCTGAAATCAGCCCAATTAATCGCAGCGTGTAAACATACCATTAGGGTGCAGTGCAACATAATGGCTGAGGTAAAACTCGTCAGATTTTGTAGACTTGTATGATTGAGAAAGTTGATAGATATAGTGTTGGGCCAATGTGACAGTGATATTTTAATAAGTACCCAACTGGTGGCTTTTCTATATAGGCATTCATTAAGCTGAACTACCAGTTTTTAAAAACAAACTGAAGTAATATTTAATTCTACAACTAGTTATTAAATTTGGTAATGGAGATTTGTATTACAACACACACAACTTTGAGAGGGAAAAAAGTCCATCAAAATTATGTTAGTGCCAGGAAGAGGGCTTTTGCGTGAGAGTTTTAAATAATTTCTAGGCACCAGCCTATTGAATTTACAGTTTCATATGATAAAGCTTTTTGAAACGAAAGCACTTGTTAGCATGTAAAGTTAATTCAAGTGCACTTTGGTTTTGTAGAGAAGACCTCTTATCCCCATCAGTCGCAGTATTTCAATCAGGAATTCCCAACATTAGGTGGTGGCAACTCCAAAGACAAGTTGCCGGAGGAAAGGGCTTCTCACCCACCGTATGGGCAACCTCCGAGAAATATGCGTGAGTAGGCTTTTAAGTTCTTTGTCTTTATGGTTGAACTTGCATCTTTTAAGCGTACAAATACACATGATTTGTCATACCAATTACAGATGAACTTTAAATTCATGAATTGGCTCAAGAGCAAAAATGCTCATCAGGGACTGGTTATTCAAAGCTAGATAAGTGCTGACCCTCAGTTAAAATTTAACCTATTATTTTAGTTTATGTATTTCTGCACGTCTGTTTATTTCAAAACTTCAGAGAAGAAAACTTCTACCGAATCAAACAAGATTACTGAAGAAATATTTCCAAATTTATCAACTAGTTGTTGGGAAGTTTGCTTTAAATTTTAGGTTAACCTGGGGTTAAGCTGATACAGCTTTGAACAACTGACCCCTGGAGGGCTTATCTTTAAATTAAAGAAAAGTACAACAATGTAATTTGGCTAATTTTAGTCCATGTGTTACTGTATGATTTTGTTTGGGTGATTATTACTTGTGTGTAAATGGTGTAGAAAAGTGGATTATTTGTCAAAGGAGTATTGCTCATTTTTTGACATTTTCAACTTTTAGACGAACCTCCATGGATGGATAAAGGTGGTTCTGGGCCCCCTCCTCCAAAATCATCATTTGCCTTGTACAATGGGGCCCCATATCCTGGTCCACCCCCAAGAAGTGGTTATGGACCACAGGTAGGTACCATTCGAAAGTTGTGTTGAGTTGTTTCTCAGTTACGTTCTTAACAGTATCATGTCTCTCGCATTTTGAGTAACAAAAGCACTGCATGATTCAGATTTAGGAGAGTAGAGTTCAAAATATTATTCAGTGGTCCAAGAGTAATAGTTTTCCACATAGTTAAAACTGATTGGGACATTTGAAATTTCATCTCCTGTTCTACAATAGAAAAATAGCTTTCTTAAATTATCCCCCCTCCCCTTGTATCAAGCAGCTTTTCTTAACATGTACATGTTTCTTAACTTGTTGTGCAGATATTCTTTAACCCATTGAGTAGCAGCAATCTCCCCTTGACGTGTAACATTGTCTGGCATTAGGTAGAGTAAATTAATAAAGTGAGGGTATACCAGGCTAATGAAGCGACTGCAACCCTTTCAATGACAATATTAAAATTTATATATGACATTGCGTGATTGTTCACCATAGATTTATCATAGAGATGGACATCCAATAAACAGCCACTCTCAAGATTTCCCATACATGGGTCAGTCTCGACCTCCAAACTATGCTACCCACCCTGCTGCTAATCAAAGGTAAGCCCACTTTTTCTATGTTGTAGTGTTGGTGTTTTTTTTGGTAAATGAGGAGTGATCATGATTTTGTATTTATGTACCCATATGTTTTTAATGGCTGAAACACACAAATGGGTGTTGGATTCAATTTGTTTTTGAAAAGATTAGTTTGAAACTAACCTGAGTATCAGGCCCTCGGTACTGAAGAGAGCCTGACACAATTCGCCTCTACGGGCTTTCCACCCCCAGAATATCAGCCAATTAAAATTATTTCCGGTTGTAGCATATTTCCGGTTGTCCGCTACAGGTATGTAAATACGCAAATTTCGTTATTTGCAGTTTTGTATAAATTTGAATAAATACGGAGAGAAATCTGTATGTTTTTGTTGAAATATCCACATGATGGAATTCTAAGCGTAAACTATGCCTCATTCGGGGAACCATAGCTCGATGGCTTTTTCCAGGAGTCTAAAGAGACAACATTCCGCGCTCTGAATAGGATTTCTTCTTCCTTGGCCCTCGTGTCATGTTAATAGTTTATTCGAGACAGCTATTCGCTTTAACTGCGTCTGACACAGCAGCTATTGTCTTCAATTTCTGCCTGATGTTGGCATATTAGTTCGAGCGAGCTGACTAGCATATCCTTGCAGGTCTTGGAAAACAGCTCGGCAATAAACTGATAAATAAGGCTTCAGCTTTTTGGAACTAAATATTTGAAAATTTCCGACATCCACATATTTTCGTTCTACGGCGACTATTATGGCGAGATATTTAGACACGCTTTCTACTATGACTATGTAGTTTTAGTTTTATACCGAGTAAAATGTTGCTGCAAAAGCGTTTTCAACGTCTTTTCGTACTTATTTTGTCATTTTTAGGCTTAATTAATTGAAAATAAATTTCAGAAATAAAGCACTTTTAACAGTATATTGACAAAATTACAAATTCTATTTTTGGTGTTTACATACGCCGGTCATATATTTCCGGTTTGAATCACATGATGCGTTTTATCGTCTCTTAGCCAATCAGCATAACATCCAGATTCTGGATGTTGAACATGGCTTTAGAGGCGAATTGTGTCAGGCCCTCTTTCAATGCCGAGGGACTGATACTCAGGTTAGTTTGAAACGAGTTTGCAACTACATAATAGGTGAAGAAACTTTTTCATGACTTTAAATGGAACGTGACTTTTGATTATGATCTTTAGTTTTTACTAATGTAATTTAATAACATTTGTTCATTTTTTCTCATGGATGTTGTGAAGCATTGTTTGCCTGCGAATCGGGCCTTTCAGAAGCTGGAGCACGCGGTCGTCTTTTTGATTTGGCAAAAGAAGCACGACAAATGGCAAAATTTGCACCATACTCATTTGCAACAACTGCAAACTGCTCTAATTCTTTCTGTTACTTTCATTTGATCTCATCCGTGAGTTGGCCTCAACCGTCTTTGATTATTTTATTTAATGCAGACATATAGATGTAATAATGCTTACAATATGGCATTTTGCAATCTACATTGTGTCTTTATGAGCCACATAAACTATTGTGTACGCCAATCTTGTGAAGATACTGTTTGTTTTGGGGAAATGTCCTCGTCACTTGAATATCTGTAATAAAAATTACTGACAACTTAGGACACTAAACTACTACATATAATATTTATGTAGAGGCCATCCTGGTTCACGAATCACTGCTCAAAAGGCTGCAAAACATATGGTTAAACTGGAAGATTCACCAAGTGGTTATGTTCGTCCCTCAGTCGTGAACGAAGAAGATATCCGTGCCATGGACTCCGAAGATGTGGAAGATGGTGGTTGGGCGGGCGCACAAGAAGAAATTGATTACTCTGTGAAATTGAACTTTGATGATGACGAACCACCTTCTCCTGGAGAAACCAAACCAGCTGGTCCCATTACCGAGGCATCCCAGCAACGAGAGAGGGTTGTGAATGGAGATACGAATAGAACACAAGTATGTCGTGGTTATGCCTTTGTTGATCAAAAGTTGCTGCTGAAAACACATTCTGTACTCATGTGAAACTGTGATCAGCAATTAATTTGCCTCCTGTTGATTACCTGACCTTTTTGAAACATTCAAACGTTTATTATAAACATGAGTTTTGTGTGATAAATAAGGCCTGTTTACACTTGCAATTTTTGCTGTGATTTCTAGTTCAATTTTCTTCTGATGTATGTGAATGAGTGGATGAATTATGAACGTACCAAGTACTGTATATGTACCCTCATCTGAACATTCATAACTCATCCCATTCATTCACTTCCATCAGAAGAAGAAAATCGCACCTAAAATTGCAGGTGACAGACAGTGTTTCTATCTACTTCAGTTCATCTTTAAATCAAAATGAAAGTATTTAAAATATCCTTACAGTGCAACCTAAACGCTTTAATAACGTTCTTTTTAACGTCGTTATTTTTAACGTTATTGTATTCAACGGTTTCATATGACATATTGTCTTTAAAATTTCAGGTTCATGGCAAGCGACCACTAGAACCAAGACGACAAGCATGGGCAGTTCCTGCTGAGGGCCACTTCCAACCTCAATGGAATGATCCACCCAAACAAGGGCCTTACAATATGCAAGGACAATACAACGCACAAAGACAATGGGCAGGTCATTTTCCACCACCACAACAGAGAAATGCATTTCCTATGGGACCACCACCTGGTCCTCAAAGTCCTCCAGGTGGAAGACAGCAACCACAAGATCAAAGTCGAACTGGTATGTTCTTCTCATATTGTTTTTTTTTTATTTCTAGCTAGAATTGAGGACACCATAATTAATGAGCAAATTAAAGCCTGGTTCACACTGGCAATTTTATCGCATTGTGATTGGTTCACTTAAATAAACAATTTTCTGTGCATATTACAAAGTAGTATAGTATGTTAGCTAGCCGTATTTCTAGCTTCACCGCGTAAGCTCTGCCACCTAATACATCCAAAGTTCCGCTGGCTGCAGGATGCCAAGATCCCACTTTTTCCGGGTGTGGCCCTGTTTGACGAAATCGTCGTCTGCCTTATGCTCTGTTAACTGTTAAATAAAATATACTTATTATATGGCAAGAAGCACTTCCAATGGTCCATTATTTTCCCACAATGGACCGGCGGTCCATTACGTAAAAACAAACGCATGCATTTCAAAACAAAACGGCAAAACTAATTGAAAATTATAATTTAATTTGTTATTAATAAGAGATCTGCGAATGGTTTTTAGTAGAAAAAGAAGGAACACATTGGTATTTTGGGGGAGGGGGTTTCGACCAAAATGTGTACCACGCTACTTATATGCATTTCAAATCATGCATTTCTTGTTTGTTTCAAATATAAATGCCATGTAATAAACATTTTATTAACCTTGCTTGCTCGGTATGTACAGAGAAATATCGGACCTCGGTCTTTTTGTACAAACCTTGCCCTACGGGCTCAGTCTGTACAAAAAAGACCTCGGTCCGATATTTCTCTGTACAGACCTCGCGTTCGGTTAATTACTGTAGAAGTTAATATTATCAACGTTTTGTGTATAAAAATTCTAGTTTGTTAAATTTGTTTTACCTTACAGTGAGTGCAATGTTAAGAAATACGACTTACTCTCCCTAACCTTTTTTCCAATCCTCTAGGTCCCACCAGTGCTAATAAACCGTCAAGTGAGCGAAGCGTTTCGATTGAACAAGCAAGGCAACGTAAAGTGATGGAGGAAGACGAAAGGAAAAAGCAACAAGAAGCTGCTTCGCGTGAAAAATTGAGACTACTGGATGCCAGAACTCGCCCAGTTCACATACAAACACACGAGGCTTCTGTTCGAGAACAAACTGGTGAGTTGTTTACCAAAATGAATAAACTGAAAATTAAATGAAACAGAAATTTCTCGATATTTCAAAGCATCAGATATGAAATTGTTGTGGGGTTTTGTAAGCGTTATTAGGCAACAGATGGTGATGCAATTTACAGAAAAACTTAATTGCTCAATTTTATGTATTTGGTTTCTAATAATATACATGAAAAAAATTCTCAATTCTGATTAGCTAAGAGCAGTGTAAATATACAGTGCCAAAAACTGAAATACAGTGCAAATTTCATTGACTACAAGATATAGCCATTTCTAGCAGAAAAAATACAAAAACCCCAAACATTTATAAGTAACAATAGTGGCTGTCGTTTTTAGTAGATTTTCTGTTAAAATTATATTAAAATTAACTATTTCGCATCGTCTTTGAAAAACTGGCGCATGTTTTTCCCAAATTGCACTCAAAACCATATAATGAAAGTAATTTACATTATTTTTCACTCTGATGACTGCCATTTATTGACTATCTGCTAAACGACCGTGTTTACTGACACCCACCTACCGAGGTAGGTAAAGGTACTAAAAATATTTATTTGCAAAGCAGAAAATATATAGTTAACATTTCGATAAGTAATGCTTCCTTTTTTCAGGTCCGTGTTCCCCTGTGTCTCCTGCTGGAAGTGATGCTCCAGTTCGAAGAATAATGCGACGAAAAGATAGTGGCAGTATTGGCGACGATGATGGCAGCAGTGTGAAGTCCGTTGAGAGTGTCGGTAAAGAGGAGAAAAAAGTTCCTGAGAATAAAAATCAAACCAATAAACCCCGAGAATTACGCAAGACGTCATCGAGTGATTTACAAGAGGAAAGAAAGTCTCCAGCACTTAAAACGAATGATGGTGAAAGGATAAATCATCAGGAGAAGGACAAGATTGAGCGGAAGTCGGCTGTCACTAAAGATGCAAAGGAAACTTCAATTGAAAAATCAAAAGTTGTTGGAGATTTCACCATGCAAAAGCATGGTGAAAATAGAGAAGCTGCAAAAGTACCAACAGGGGATGGAAAAGATATCAAAAAGCATGTGGAAGATAAAGAAAAAAGACCAGAAAGAAAAAGTAGTGAGAGTAGACCCAGAAGTGATGAAGCATTTAGAAAGAAAATCCTGTCTGAAACAGACGAATTACATGACAACGCTGACTCTGAAAGTAAAAAAGAGAACTTGGACAAAAGAGGGAGTCGTCTTAGTAGTAAAAGTGACCGTGGTAGTAGCGAGTCTGTACGGAGTAGAGATAGCATCGAGAAACGTAAAGAAGATCGAAGACGGCCTGAGGATATTAAACGAAAACGCGAGGACTTTGAGCGAAATGAACAACCGTTGAACGAACAAGGCAATCGTGCTCCGAATAGAGATCGTTTGTTTTCCGGTCGAGGACGAGGCACCTTGGGAGGAAAAAGTCATCTCCGTGGTCATCCAAAATCATATAGTCACGGAAGAATCGACAGAACCACCACCCAACGTCGTACTCGCACACGAAATGATTCGAAAGATTATGCAGATGATGAAATAAAAACAGTTGCTTCTGAGGAAAAGGGTCGAGTGAATGAGAAAACGGAAGAAAGGCATTGGGTTGGTGGCGATCGGCGGGAGCCTGGCAATGATCGAAGTGTTCGACGACAAAATGATGGTAATAGACGACAGCCCGATAGTGACAGGCAACAACGAGATGATGATAGACGACAACAGGATGATAGCCAACGGTCTAATACAGAAAAACGTCACCGAGATGGAGACAGACGGAATGTTGAAAGAGAAAAACGCGAACCTGATGACGACAAACAGCAGCAGACTGGTGACCGTCGTAGGAAAGAGAACCCAGAATCTAGGTTTTACGACAGTGGTAGGCGAAACGAAAGAAATACAAGGGAAAGAGATACAAGAGATGACAGGTCATATAAGGGTTCTGGAAGGTTGCCGTACAGACCTCAGACATCAGGAGAGCCACTTGGTCGAGCTGAAAGATTCCGGGATAAAACTAAGAACAGGGGTGGTTTCGGGGTGCCTCCGCAGCCGAAGGAGCAACAGAAAAAGAATGAAAATGAAGAAAAATCCAAAGATGAAAGCAACAGTGCTAAGACAAAGCCTATTTCATCCACCACAGAGTCCAAAAAGTCCGATGAAAACGAAACTGGTTCATTCAAAGGAAAAACAAGTGAGAGTGTTTTTGTGCCACCTAGGACAGAGAATTGGGATGTCGCTGATTCACAAGATACTATTGCTAAAGAAGTCAAAACTGAAGGCACTCTTGCTCCAATACAGAAAACTGCTGCTGAAGTTAAGACCGAGAAACCCACTACTACAGAAGGTTTTAGTGGCGATAAGAAACCTACCGAAAAAGAAGTGCTAGAAAAGCCTACTGATGGCAAGAAACAGCAGAATAACAAAGGGGACAAAGTTCCCACTACTGCTCCAACAAAAAATGATCAGTATGAATCGAAAACAGGAGAAAGGCGTGAACGAACGGTGCCTAACAAAGAAAGAGAGCAACAGAACTTCTCCAAGAGTGATTCGGGTGACACGAAAGTTGAAAAGTATGAGTCGAAAAAAGGAGAAAGGCGTGAACGAATAGTGCCTAACAAAGAAAGAGAGCAACAGAACTTCTCCAAGAGTGATTTGGGTGACACGAAAGTTGAAAAGAGACGTGAAACAGAAATCTATCGTGATGGTCGTCACAGACAGGATGATAGACGACCCCGTCCGCGTGATGAGACGCGTCGTGAACAACCAAAAAGAAATGACGAACGCAAAGCTCCTGTCAAATCAGGTGCCGAAAATTGGGACAGTGAAATAAACTCTAGAGCAGAAGAACGAAAGGATGTGCAAAGAGAAAATCGTGATGCGACCCGGCAATCTGATAGGACACAGGATCATACTGATCGGCGTAATAATTCATATTCCCGCGATCGGAAAGACCAGCGCGACCAACGAGACCAAGACAAACCCGACCAACGTAATAGAAATGAACGTAATCGAACGGATCAACGTGAGCGAACAGATCGTCGGGATCGTACGGATCAACGTGAGCGTATGGATCGTCGAGATCGCACGGAGCAACGGGAGGGAAATGATCGTCGCGAGAATACGGATCGTCGTGATCGCACAGAACAACGTGAGCGTGTAGATCGGCGGTATCGCACAGAACAAAGTGATCGGCGAGATCGCACAGATCAACGAGAACGTATAGATCGTCGTGATCGTACAGAACAAAGTGACCGAACAGATCGGCGTGATAAAATCAAGCCAGTAAGTAATGAAAAACTAGAGTCGAACGTTGATAAGCCACGTAAACCTGGTGTCAAAGGAGAAGAACAAAATAAAGATATTCATCCGAATGAATCTATTCCTCAAAAACAAGATGCTAATAGAGAGAGTGAAAGAACTGAGAAGCAAGATGAGTATCTTTCTTCCATGAAAAAACAATCTGATAGATTTACTGTAGGTACATTAAGCCCTGGGGGAGATCGCCGACGGTACAACGAAACTCGTCGCGGTGATGCGTCTTCAAGACGTGGTAGTCATGGTGGAACACGCGGGATGCGTGGTCGTGGTCGTGGACGTGTGATAAGTAGTGGAAAACCCATAGGAAAAGGTAGTGCAGCATCAAAGAATGATGATGAAAATGATTCCGAAGATTACCACAGTGCTCATTCATCTGTTGATTCTGACGAGTCGGATTCAGAAGAAGTGTTTGATAAGCAAGATGACGGACGAAGAGATGACAAGAAGCCAACTCGATCGTATTATTCGAGTAGTCGATCAAGAGGGTCCTATAGTTCTCGCGGAAGGGGAAGAGGGAGTTCACAGATAACCCGTAGCCCACGGAAACAGCCAGAGAAACCGCCACGTTTTCAAAGACAAGAAGCAAGAAGTGCTAGCAGAGGTCGAGGAAAGAGTAACCGAGGAGGATTTTCTTCCAAAGATAACTGGGATGAGAACATTTCAAAGAATAGAGATAGCAGGAACTCCGATGAAGGACCTTTGCCCAAAAAGCGTCCGCCGGATACATCGTATTCAAACGAAAAGGACTCCGATGGTAGTTATAGAGGACGTAAGGCGGTTCGTGGTGGTCATTCTGGCAATAAGAATTCTTTTTTAGCCAAAAAGCAGCAGGAAGTAGTTGAAGGTTCTTCGAGGAAAGGGGGTGGACGTTTTGGCGCTAAGTCGACCATTCCTGCTGCTTTGACAACACACGGTCGTCGCGCAAAGAACGAACCTGCGCCAGCAGACGGTGATGATAACCTGGAACCTCCTAAGAAGAACCCAAGGCGTACTGAACCGCAAAAGGTGGGCATCGAACATATCGATATGAGTAACATTGCTGGCTTCATTGATATTGATGATATTGCACAGCCTGCTAGTGAATTTGAACCTGCCTCACCCCAAAGTGATTTTGTTGAAGTGAAATCAAAGAGAACGCAAAAAGAACAGAGGGAAAGAGCCCGTGAAGAAGAAGAACGAAAGCGACGCGAATTAGAAAAAATGATGCAGGATGCAATGCTAAAACCCAAAACAAATAAATCTTCCTTGCAAAACAAGCAGCACTCGACATCCAAACCACCTAGATTTGCAAGAAACACGGGAGTACCGTCGAATGTGGTTTCAACTCTACCTGAAGGAAATACACTACCAAGCAGTGTTACTCCTGTAGCTATCCCCGAGAATAATACAATTACTGCTTTGGCTTCAGCAAACGTGGAACAAAAACGTGTTTCTCCATTGATGTTAGAGAAACCAAGCTCTCCACCACCACCTCCAATGTTTAATGCTTGGACCAAGCCACTTTCTATCACGCCTGCAAAACCTCCCAATGAAGCATCGGCAGAATTACCAAGAATTACCCAGCCAGATCCATTGGCAGTTGGAAGCGGGAAGCCCCAACGGGCTAGTGGGGCTCAGCCGAAAGCAGAAGAGCCGGGACTGCAAATACAAGTAACTTTGCCGGCTACTTTTCAACTGGCTGGACAACGGGACATTGGTTCTCAGAATTCTGAATCTCGAATGTTCTCTAGAGTTGACGAAACAGATGGGGGTGAACCTAATGTTAACAGTTCACTGAAGAAAACAAGCGATGAAAATATTGCAGAACAAACGGAGAGTAAAAAAACAGATGGCACACAATCAACAGGATCCAATACACAAAAAGAAGAAAGCAAGATGAATACACACAATGTTAAAACAACTGAGTCCAGTGTTAGCGATAAGAATTCCGAAAACAACAAACGTCAACCCACTGGCAACAATTGGAAGTCTTCACGTCCTCCAAGATTTGAGAAGAGTGTTCCGGGAAAACGCAACACGGATGGTAGGAGACTTAAGGCTGATACCAAAGACAACGGCGAACCAAAGTCACAACCTGATACGGATAAACCTAAAGAGGTAAGAACCTTAGCATTTATTGGACTGTTTAGATATTAATTCCACTTTTTAATAAACAGTTGACATTGCCCTTTTGGTCCATAAGCGTTCCGAAGTTTTCTTTATCCACAAAGAAATTTCGATAAAAATTTGAAATTTCGATAAAAATTTTTGTTGGAACGCAAACTTGTTCTCCTCGGAACAATTGTATAGGGTAGAGTGTATAAAAAAGGTAACCCATATTTAGCGTGCTTCTGTGATTTTATTATTGGGTGTATAGATTTAATTTTTTCATATTAGTAAAGATTGGGTTTAATCTGTTAGTCTAGGACCTGTATATGAGTTTGTATGCATTTCATTTAGGACAGATAATCTCAAATGTTTTGGGGCAAGTTGACCATGACGGTCAGCATGGTAACGCTGCCCGAACCTCAATCCGGGGCGAAACGTCCGAAACTGACCACACCCAAAAACGACGCTTTCGCCATACTGCTATCTACCAAACCATAGAAGCTTTGGCTATTCTGATGTGCTTATATGGTTCAGTAGGGTGATGCGGTTATTCGGTTAACCGAGATGAATCGGTTATTTTTACAGATCGGTTTCACGAGTCTTCTAAATATCAGATAACCGACTAACCGAAAAACTATAAAATATAAAATTCAACATAAAAAGACAAACAAGCGTGCTACATGTGATCAACATAAAACTATAAGCAAGCTACGTTATACTCTTTGGTGATTACGCGATTTAAATCAATGCTAGAAGCCTAGAAAAGCGCTGCGACTCAAATGGCGGATTAAAAGCGGATCAAAACAAGCTTAAAGCTTCCGGTTTGATTAGCTAAGAGAAAGGCGGACGTCTGCGAAGACGTCACGTGGATAACACACAAAACATGTTGTTTATTTTTGTCGAAATAATTTCATTGATTAAAAGAGTCGGTTATCTCGGTTATTTTGTGACGATTCTCGGTTTCGGTTATTTTACGAAACCGCATCACCCTATGGTTCAGAGACAGTGCTTTTAGGGGTGGTCATTGGTAAAGCCTAGTTCTCATTCATCGCAAACTGTCACCGACGATCGGCGACGCTTATCGCCGATACTCGCGGAGCGCGAATGCACGAAAGTTCTCATACATCGGTGATCGTCGCAGATGACAGCCGATGTGTTTCGAAATTTTCCACCAAGGCACAAAATGGCCCCATTCAACGTAAAGTTCATGATTTCTGTCAAACTTCAGTTGATTATTTCCTTGCTTGTTGAGGAACAAACAACTTTTACTCATTTCTCATAGATTTTTCAAGCAGGTGGCAGTCGGCGATGGTCGCAAGAAACAAACTTTTTTGTTTCCTGCGATGTCATCGCCGATGGTCGGCGACGATTACGGACAATCGGCGATATAATTTTTGATGTGTTCTCATAAATGGCAAGCGGTCGCCGACGTCGCAAAGCTCCCATCGCCGACGGTTTGCGATGAATGAGAACTAGGCTTAAGTGTGAAATGCCTAGTACTAATATTTCACAAGAAAATGACCATGCAATAATCATTGTTAAACGTCAATTTGTGGCTTGCAACTTAAGATAAACAGCAGTGGACTTACATTTACCTTTTTCCCTAAATCTTTTTTACAGAAACATAATTGGTACTTATTTAAATATATTATCACTGGTTTGGTGTAAAATAGTTAATATTTTCTGACCGAAATAATAATTTGAAATGTGCCTACCTCCTGCAAATGGACGTATTTGGCCAAGTTCTCCACTTTACTCCGCTGTTTATCGGCGATCTCGTCGACATCCTTCCAAAAATGTAAATCATCTCAGACATAATGGTATCAAGAACATTTTAAACAAGTTTCAACTTGGTTTCAAGTAGATCATACCTGTTTAACCATCGACAAGGTAAATCCACAACTTTGTCCAAATTCGGCGCCATTTTGTCATCCCATGTCGGTTGTCAACAATTCGGCCTTGTTACTCTTCCATTCACGCCATATCCATTGCACAAATAACAAATTTAACCCTTTGTTAAGGGTATTAAAATAAAAATACAAATGAAATATGCGAAATGCAGCATTTTATCACCCGGTAAAATGTTGCTTACGAGTCCTTCAAAACATTTCGTACAAATCTCGCGTGGTTTAGCAACAGGGACATGACAGGGGGGGTAGAGACTTGAAAAATGAAAGCAAAGCCCACACAGTATGGTAAAACGTACTAAAACCAACAATCAACATTTAATTTGTATGACTTGTTCATATTAATAAATAATAATATGTATATATTTGTCGCTACAAGAAATAAAACAAACGTTTGTATGATTGTATTTAGCTTTTAGTCTATTTCACGCAGCCTTCTTCTATCTTCGTGAAATAATTCACCCCTTCTGTCACGTCCCTGTTACTTTGTCACGCGAGATTTGTATGGAATGTTTTGAAAGACTCGTGAGCAAGATTTTACCGGGTGATAAAATGCTGCATTTCGCATATTTCATTTGTATTTTTATTTTAATACCCTTAACAAAGGGTTAAATTTGTTATTTGTGCAATGGATATGGCGTGAATGGAAGAGTAACAAGACCGAATTGTTGACAACCGACATGGGATGACAAAATGGCGCCGAATTTGGACAAAGTTGTGGATTTACCTTGTCGATGGTTAAACAGGTATGATCTTCTTGAAACCAAGTTGAAACTTGTTTAAAATGTTCTTGATACCATTATGTCTGAGATGATTTACATTTTTTGTAGGATGTCGACGAGATCGCCGATAAACAGCGGAGTAAAGTGGAGAACTTGGCCAAATACGTCCATTTGAAGGAGGTAGGCACATTTCAAATTATTATTTCGGTCAGAAAATATTAACTATTTACACCAAACCAGTGATAAAATATTTAAATAATTACCAATTATGTTTCTATCAAAAAGATTTAGGAAAAAAGGTAATGTAAGTCCACTGCAGTGCTGTTTATCTGAAGTTGCAAGCCACAAATTGACGTTTAACTATGATTATTGCATGGTCATTTTCTTGTGAAATATTAGTGCTACGCATTTCACACTTACCAATGACCACCCCGAAAAGTACCATCTCTGAACCATATAAGCACCTCAGAATAGCCAAAGCTTTTATGGTTTGGTAGATAGCAGCATGGCGAAAGCGTCGTTTTTGGGTGTGGTCAGTTTCGGACGTTTCGTCCCGGATTGGGGTTCGGGCAGCGTTACCATGTTGACCGTCATGGTCAACTTGCCCTAAAACAGTTG